CCTGGGACTTTCCACTTTAAGCCCATTTGCTTTGTAATTTGGTTCCATTCACACCGAATTTTGGGTGACCTAAAATCTTAGATAAATGCACTAAATTCATTATGAGGACAAGCTTTGACTGAATGGACGTTTTTGCCTTATCCAATACAGTGTTGCTACTGTCTTGTCAGAACTTGCTTTGTATGGGACAAGTTTGAAACATGAATGAGTTTTTGTGTATAATGTTTGAACAGTTTAAAGCTGTGTAATCTATATGCATTCAGATGGATGAAAATAAGGAGCATCTAAGGTCATGGAATGCAGCAGTCATAATAATATTGGTTTCTTTTAATTTTATTGGAAGTAAAACTACTTTCTGTGGGGTTGAGTTGGGCAACAGATGCAGGGAGAGTACTTTCCCTTGCTGTCAACTGCGGGGAAGCTGAAAATATTATGCCAGGAAGTCTCCATGTACTTCTCTTTGTGCTCTTTGAAACCACAGCTAATTGAAGCATTCCCCTATTTGTTGAATCTATGATTGAGAAGTGTATGTCATTGTCAATATATTTACTATATGTGATGAGTATGGCTTTCTCTGTATATTTAGAGGTACTTAAGAATTGTTTTCAGTTGATTATTTTGACCTTAAACAGATACTTCCTGTGTCTGTACTTTTACACAAGTAACCAAATAGAGTGCAGAAAACCACTGAAAATAGCAAAGAGGAAATGAACAAACTACCTAAACTATATATTCAAGTTATGTTTTGCATACCAATAAAGGAAATATAATATATTGATAGTATTAGTAATTATGAACAGCCTATTGCCCGATGCTGAATTGAAAGCGTGTATAATTGTAATAAACTCAGCATTATAAAACATTCTTCATTCACCACCTCATCTAGAAATAGAAATAGCAGGAAGCCCCTCAGGCTGGATCCTGAACTTAGAACAATGCACCTACTCCGAAACCAACGTTCATTTTGGCACACCATGGAAAGACGATATGAGATTACAACCAGATACAGTATATTCCGAGCAGTTCTGATTTCTTCTTTTCTATTTGATTTATCCGACTTGATTCATTTTTTTGTCTTTCGGCTGTTGAAATGCGAGCCGTTTTGCTTGCATTCCTCCCCTCTCCCCTTGGCATACCATAGTCTACACATCTCAAGTTTCCACAGACCTACAGCATATTGTTTATTTTGCCCGGCGTGGGGGGAAAACATGGACATACCCTTTGCCAGATAAAACTTCAATCCATACCATGCGTTTAAAGAACAATGGGAGCGCCTGTACGGGGAATGCCATTGTAAAAAGACTGCATACAAAACAGCACATGCGTAATGCTAATTGTAGTGATACAGAAAGGCCTTTAATGGACAAAGGGTATAGGGCACATCTGATCTCCAAGATGTCTGCTTCACGGGCTGCAATATGGACGTTGCATTTCCCCTGAGATCCGTTCTGCACACATTTATGAGACCTCTGCCCAACCCCCAATCCTCCCCGACAAGGGCAAGAATTGAAAAAATCTTGCTGCTCGTTTATTTTTATTAAATAATGTGTTAAAAATGTGTTCTTTACGTCTGTTTTTTAATGTTTTGTACTGTATATGCAATGATATAGGCCTTTGGAAACTCAGCCCATAGTATTTGAAGGTCATATACATGTCCTACATAGATTGTTGCCCCTCTATAACTGGCAAGACTTGTGGTTTATATTTCTTTCTGTTGTGAAATCACTACAGAATTTAATGGAATGTATTTTGATAGAGTCCTAACAAGGCAACTTAAAGGGCCAATTTTATCCAGTCATTATTGAAGGAGGAGAACCATGTGAAAATACTTTCATCTAACTATTTGTTTTGTTGTCACCTTGCACCAAGCCAACATTTAGTCAGGTGAAACCACTAATATGTATCAGAGAATGTCTGAACTACCCCAAATTTGTCCATGCGGTCATCCCACCAGTTTAACCTCAGCTTGAGCACTTACTCATCTTCCCTCTCTTTCACTTCTCCAGCGAAACAGAGCTGAGAGCCAAAATGTTCCTTCAGCCCGCCCAGAGGAGTGACTCATAAATTATATAAAGTGCTTCCAGAGAGTGGGCCCCTGTGTTACCGTCAGCCACAACAATCGCTGTATTTGTCATAAAGTCTTAACCCTCCACAAGCCACCGCCACATAGGAGTATTTCCGTCAACAAAGTTTTCTTAGAAGTAAAAGGTGGGACAGAGAAGATTAAGAATGTGCATAAACTGTGTCAATGCAAGATATACAATTCAAGAGAACTGAAACATAAAGGCTCAGAAATGATTTTTTTGTTTTTATTCTAAACTACACGACACCATACCTGAAATTAGTCCTTAAACATATAAAATGGTTCTGAAGAAGATGACAAAGTCTGGGATCGTGTCTTTCATTCCGACAGAAGACATGTTTTATTGTCAATGGTAGAGACAGCACGAACACAAACACGACAGAATGTGTATTATACAGCATGGAGGAATGCAGTCCTCCAATCAGCAGCTTCCACGGTGCCATGTAGCTTGGTCTTCAGAAGTCAAAACAAGGGAAAAGTACTGGCTCGTGCAAATGTAATAAGGATGAGTTTGAACTTTAACAAAAGTTGCTTAAAAGTGTTATGAAATCTCACAGTTCTTTACTTGTCTTTTATGCAGTTGTCAACAACAGCTACATTATGTCTATCTGCAGAAACAGCAATCAAGCCAAATCCTATATTCTAACACAAGCCCTGATGAAAACAGTATGTTGAATCGTGTTTGCGTAAGTCCTTTTTGCAACTATCAGAGTGCCTCTGACTCTTTTTCTTAAAGACATTTTGCTTGACCTATTGGAAGAGCACCGGTTTGAGCATATAATCCAGTCCATAGATATACCCTTCTTGTGCAAAGTCAATGTCAATTTGTGAAATTATTAGTGAATGAATATAGATGTGAAATGTCACTCATGCAATTCAGTGTCTCCATTGAGCCCAATACCTAGAGGTTGGAGAAATGAGCGGAAAAATATTACCTCAATTTATTACACAAACACAACATCTTTACTACAGGTTTGAATTCCAATCCAGTGTCAAGGTAAAAGGCTTATTTGTTTATGGCTTATAAGATTTACCGACACCTCCAGACCCCTTTTGTCTGTCAGTTCCAAAATGTTCAACATACTCTGGATAGTTGGCAATGCATTTCAGTGTCTGGTGCCTTGTCCACAATTCACTACTGAACCTGTGGTAAGAGACGTATACTACAATCTCCTTTATTAGTTTTTTTTATTGATTGCAGAAAGTCCTATGTGTATACCCTTGAATAGACAATTTCCAACAAAATAGAAATGCTAGGCTAAGGAAGGAGATAGTAGGTGTTAGATGGCCAAAGCTCAAAACAGGACTTAATGAAACAAGCGTGCATTACTGTATTATAACACTGACTGAATAATGGAATACGAGAACCTGGTGAAAAGTCCATCTGAAATTCAATTTTTCAAGTAGTTAAATGTCTATCCTACCGTCACACTTCAGGGGTCATGGTCATAAAGTGTTGAGTTCAAAGCAGAGGAATGTGAGAAATGCGAGTGAGGAGTGGACTGGCAGAGTTGTGGTGTGATTTACGTGTGGAGGACTTGTTTGTATCAGGCAGAGTGACATCAGTAAGTCTTTCCCAGTATGAGCCCATGTGAATACAGCGCAGATCAGAGCGTAGCTGGCCTGTGACATCCTCAGATGACCCTGAGGAGCAGGCCCCACGGGAGGCAGGGGAGGCAGGGGAGGCAGGGGAGGAAGAGCACCACACAAGAGCTGCACTATGCAAATAAACACAGCACAACGAGGTCAATGTATGATAAGTGAATTTGAATGTGCATTTTGAGCACATTTGTAGTGGTTTGTTGTATTCTGTTTGTATAATTAGCTTTATGAATGAACCAACTTGTATGGGTTACTGGTAAAATGAACTGATGTGGAAATTATGCAAACTATAGATTTTATTACAATTTGGTTGCTGCAAACGATAATTACTGTTTTCTTTCTGTAACATGAAATATAGAATTGTATTTTTGCGTGGGAATTTAATATATTTTAGTACTGTGTTTGCACAACACGTCACCTGCATAATTAAGGCAGTAGAAGGCAAAAACTACAATATTACATTCTACAAAGAGACTCATCAGTTTGAAGATACCGGGTCAGGTGTGTGGAGTTGAATGAATGAATAAATGAATGAATGAAGTAAAACAACTGTTGGTTTCACATGTACCGGGAATAATAATATAACGCTGTAATTGTTGTTTTCAGTTGCATGCATGCCCTAAGGAGATGTCCTCTGAAGAGCCGTGTCAAAAAGTCACTCTGAGCTGCCCCCTACTGGCCTTTTTGTGAGCTGTCAGGCCTTGAGACAAATTAGGTTAAAACTGTGTTGAAAATGTATTTAGTTTCCCATAAACCAGAGTGAGATAAAGTGAGTATAGGCTATAAGATGCAGAACAATCAACACCCTCTCTATATACATATATGCACAATATACATATTGTGCATGTATAGGCCTAATGGTGAATGTGTTAAATCCAAACATTTGGACCTATTAGAGTAAACATGTCACAGCTTCATCAAAACAGTTGGTGATGGTTCTATCACTACAGATTCAACATGTATTATTTTTTTGTCCTCTGTCCTCCTTTTAGAATCCACCCTCATAGTCTCATCCCAAAGTGTCAAAGTGTACCTCACAAGCCTATTTCTTAAGTATGCAAAAGATCTTATTAGAAAACTTGTTTTCAAATAACATGTTGTGGTCTAATTTGTTGTGAGCATTTTACTTTAAAGACATGTATTATTATGGAGTAAGGTACCCCAGCTTTAACTAAAGGCAGCGAGGTCTGTCCGCAGTAGTCTACTTGAGAAACTGTAGAGAAAAGTGAGCCTACTTTTGTGCAGTTTGATTGCATGCATTTATTGGATGTGATCTTAAACAAAGTCATGTATGTAAATGAGAATAAAGTTAGTTTTCACATGCAGAGCAGTAGTTTGCAGACGCGTAGGTTGGAAGAACCCTCAACCAGCAAACCACCCGGCTCTCCTTCGATCCCCGCGCTGATTGGCTGGGCCCGGGTAAAGGCGGAAGTGCACAGAGCGGGGGATTCCCCGAGGGAAGTTCCCAACTCCACTGGTCTGTGTAAAGCACACATACCCGAGGCTAAGGCTGTGTGTAAAACATACATATGCCATATCCTCTCCAGAGATCCACCTTTGCATCGACTCATTAGGCAACCAAACTGCGGTGGAGGCAAAACAACATCTTCGGCATTTACTCGAATGAAGGTAAGTGCCTCAGTCATGGAGCGTCTCCTCTGGATCCATCTGGAGCTATGGCTGACTATACTCTTGACTATACTCGGACTATACTCTGTAAACTATAAGCAACTTTGAGACGCGCGTGTCAAGGTGACGTGAAGCTCACTGGAGTGGAAATAATGTGTAAACAGACTGATCCAAGTGTGTTTACCATGTGTCCTGCAGGGTCACTGACAGGTAGCGGCTGCACTTCTGGATTCAATGTTGCACAGACTGTTCTGGTTTCAATTACTATTCTTATGAGCAGTGTCGTTTAGTGGGCTACTATGTGACATATTTATAATTTCTCACATAAGGAACTTTACTACCAGGGCCTGCACATTTCTTTATTAACTGTTACATGAATAAATGTGTGTCCTATCTTATCGCAATAGCTCCAATCATTATTTTCAGTTTCTCAAGCTAATTTTAGATTTATTACGGGCGTGGATCGTGGATGTTGTTTCTTTACTTTTTTCATTTAAGGTCTATAGTCCATAACCATTGGCCCACATATTGGTACAACATTCAGGTGACTATAGCATAGTTGTATATAAAAAGAGAATGAGACATAATTATGTGGAACAAAATAAGTCTTTTAAGGTAATTTGTGTAGTTGTATCTATTTGCAAGCATGTAAACAAGTGTTATTGAAGTTGAGGGCCTACAAGTTTCAATACATAGCAGCATTTTTATTTTGCTGCTGTGTACAAAAATAGAAATGTTTGAAAAAGTTGATGTGTTTTGCTGCAGCGGGGCTCATGTCTGCTGTGTCAGTGATGATTGTGGAGCACACGGAATGGAAAGGAACATCGGAGACCAACTCAACAAAGCCTTTGAAGCCTATCGTCAGGTCTCCATTGAGAAAGAAATAGCCAAAAAGGAGCTGCAAAAAATGGTGCATACCACTTTTAGAAAATACAAATGATACTTGTTTTGTGTGGCTGCATTTTAAGGCGTTATTGTGTGTTCTATTTTAGACAGAGTATTACGAAGGTTACACGCATAAACTACAAAAGCAGATCGAGGACCAACAGCGGATCATCTCTGTCCTTGAAGCTAAACTATCAGCTCTGAGGCCGTCGCCTGCAGGTTTGTAACACAAAAAAAGAATAACACATGAACATTTGAAGCACATTTCTTGATCGCAACTAATGGGTCTATTAAAAATATCAAGATTTTTGTGTTATTTTGAAGTGTTTGTATTGAAGATAAAAAAGATAAAATTACAACATATTGCAAAGAATTACAAGAATTATTTTTTTACTGAATTCTGAAACGGATTAATTTTTGTTCACATATTTTTTGCATTTCCCTTGCAATCTATAATTTTTGTAAATTTGCAATTATGAATTTTAAAGCACATTAATCTTTTTCCTGAAACCCTAAATCCGAATTGTTTTTTATTGTTCATCTAAATCTTGGACTCATGGAAATCCAGAACACAAATACATTTTGAACCTCATTCGTAAGGCACAATGTAAAACTCTTGATATTGCAAAAGATCTTTCTAGTTGCTGTTATTGGGATTATCCATCTAAATGCAACATATTATTCATCGCCACAGTCCCTCCATATTCAAGTTAGAATAGGTGTTTGTCTTATTGCTGCAGGAGAAACCAAATGCGAGTCTCGTGAACATACCCATGACGGCGCCTTTAGGAAAATACAGTACCAGGTAAGTCCACATTTCTTTATGCAAACACCAAACCAGTCGCCTGTGTTGATGCTAACGTGGCCTTTTGCAGTTCTGCTCGACACACAGCGCTTCCTCTTCTGCTCGTTAGAACAGTGGTTTCAGAGTACAGGCTGTTCCAGGGGCCAGTCCTGTTTGAGTTTCTAATATAAGGCAATCAGAATCAGCCTACACATCTACCTCGCTGTGACACTGATGAAAGTACGCTATTTCATCATAGCAGAAAGTGGCTAAACATGGAAATGTGGATTACACAACTTGAATGCAGTCACGCACTGTTCTCGTTTGACTAGAGCTGAACGTTTGATTGTAACAAGTAATTGATCGTGGTAGGTGAGCGTTAAAATTAGAAGTCACAAAAATAGGATTGCGACATGTTTATCCACACATCTGCTTTTCATTATTGCACAATTTAAAGCATTTAAATCTAGGGTACTTAACTTTTATGTAAAATAATTAACTATTTGATACAAATCCATCAAACTAGTTCCTTGCCCAGACAGAAAAGGGAACAATAGATGAGCAGGCAAACAGCTCTCAGCTCAAACTGTTAAATAGTGACTTCCCAAGGGCTTTTTTACTATTAAGTTATCAAAAAAGATGGAGACTGCATTCTGTGGTCTGATTTCTTCACAAATGTTTTCTTTTGCAACATATATTTCTGTTAGAAAAAACAATATATATTGTTTATGGAAAATTTTTTGTTATCAGTTTGTTATTACTATAAATGAAAAGCCTGTTTGGGGCCCATATGGTTTGAAATGCACAAGGTGTATCCATGTTTGGCATCAGCAGATGGTGCTAGAGGATAAATTCCCAGTGATGTGTGTGTGTACCTGGGTCTCAGCTTCTCACTGGAATCTACTACTTTCCCATTATGCTTTTACAATAAGAACAATGTGAGGATCAGAACTGCAGATGTCCTCACACCTTTTTAAATTGAAACGCATATATTGCACGTCAATGCTTACATGTAATGCACCTTTTTCAGGACAATGCGGCCCCTGGTGCAGCTGCTTCAAATATCGTCTCTACTGTCGAATGGTATGTGGGTCGTCTGGCAATGTTTGATTTATTTTTGTATTTCTTAAATTGTGTTTCTGTTTGTCAGTCAAGATATGCAAGATGCATTTGAAGCCATTCAGGTGAAATTTCGGAAGATTAAGTGTTTGACCAGAAGACAAAAAGACCACCTAAAAAGGTTTAATGGAGGAAATGATACATTCAACGGTAATTAAATCGCTGGATTGTTTCAAAACACCTGCTGTTTTGTTTAAATTACCTGCTTATGTGAAAACAATGGCTTTTAAACACTTTATAAGGTGTCAATCCTCATACAAACGGCACAATATTTCCCTGTAAGTCACTGGATATTTTATTGTAGAAAACAGAGCTGACAAACGCAGTTTAGCAGGAAGCAGAAATGCAACTCGTCTTAAGCGGCTGCACTAAGTTCACTACTTTTATGCATATTTTGGATAATTACTATTCATATCCCCTTATATCGTCCGTACGTGGTTATTCCCACCTGTTCTGTATATATGGCATGATCTTTGAAATCTATTTAATATTTTAGACGTGTACTAAGTTCCATAGTTAATGCATACAGAATTGTATATTGACAACCTTTTTGACATAGTTTTTCTAGTTTTAGTTTGACACTACGTATGTTTTGATGTTATTGTATTATGTGTGAGGTGATGTGTAGAAGTGATTTCTCTTGCAAATCATTACCTCAAAATATATGGGTGAAAAAAATTACTCTTCAATTGTAGCTGCATATTGGTGATTGGGATTTAAACTATAAACATATTTTAATGTCCTGTTGGTTTTGTGTACAGAAGGTTACATGGATATTATACACAGCAACTAAATACAACTGCTTTTACCGTTTGCTTACATGTACCTTTTAGTAAAAAATTCTAAATATTCAAAAAAAAAAATATCCCTTTCACAGCAGATCATCGCTTCTCCATGCCCATCCAGTGCACCGACGGGACGGCAGAGGCAGAACGGCCCTTCTCCGTGCTCAGAACCTCGGCTGTGGACATCCCTCTGGCCTCCTGCTCTGCACTGGCGTCCCGTGGAGCCCACCCAGACGACCGGGAAATGGACTCTCTGACCAAATTCAGCGTTAAGTTCCCCCCCTCGGCGGACAGCGAATACGACTTCCTAAATAGCGCTCCGGACGGGCACATGGGTCTGGCCGGAGAGCAGGAGCCAGCGGTGGCACTGCCCCTGTCTTTTGTCTACTCCTCTCCCCCTCCCTCCCACTCGTCATCGTCTTCGCTTTCCCAGGGGAGAGTACGTGGACCCCAGCAGGTGAGAATCGCAGGAGAAACTCTGAGAAAATGTAGTAGCAAATTATCAGTGTGATTGGTCTTTATTAATGGTGGCGCGAAAGAGTGTGAAGTCCCCCCCACCACCAAAAAAAGAAGAAATCTCCACTGCTTAACTGTATTAATGCGCAGTGGTGTTTTTTCCCTACTTAAGCGTGCTCTGGTTATATTTGGCATATTTGAGGCATCGTGTGGGCCAGATGGAAGCGCGCTGTGTGAAGCTGCTGAAACAAGTATGATGGATAAATGAGGACCACGGTGTGGGTAAATATATGAAAATGATGAATGATTGAAAAGGAATAGTGGTCATGCAGCACAGATGATTTTGTAGATATAATGACAACGTGTTAGTCTTTTTAAGGATTGTGGAAAGGAAGGAAACAAAAAGGCGTAGCAAGGTTTTTGAGTCTGTCAGACTACGTCACATAGTTAGCTACATTTATATAAGCAAGCCATTTTTGCTTTTGCCTTTACATATCAAAACCTACAGTATAACTTCCCTGTAGACTTCTTATTACAAATCTATTAATAAAATCATGATGTATAAAATTGTAAATTGTACAAACACACTCACCTTTGGGTCAGGTTTCAGTCATGTTTTTGTGTTCTGCGTCTTTGCGCTTCTTCGCACATTCATTAAGCTTCTATGCCTATTAAATTGGGTTAGTTTATAACATACATTATGGCAATAGTTGAATAAAATATATTCAGGATGAAGGGTATTCTCTAAAAATGCATCTTTAATCCAGAACTTATTTTAATACTCACTAAACTCTAAACTAAAAAACTCTTTGTGGGACAAACAGTCAATTATGGAATGGATGAATTGAATGTTAAAATAATACTCTATAAGAGAACATACCAGGGCTGTAATGAGATATTCGGTGGACTGCATAAATACCTATGATGAAATTTAGGGATTAACATCTCTGAAATATGTCAATAAATATATGTAAATTTGACGGTTTGACTAAGCTTGAATATCAAATACTAAATCCGTTTTGCTGCAAATGTTTTAGAAAGTTTTCACACATTGAAATGATTTAAATTTGAAATAAATAGTTGGTCGACTTTGAACTCGACTCCAACAACTAAATATTGACAGGCCATAATTAGGGCTGTCAATTTCTAAAATATGGTTAAGTCTTGTGTGCATTACTACATCTGCACCGTGTCGCCCACAGCCGCTGTGGACCCCGGAGCTCTGCAACGCCGTGGACTTGGGAGCAGACTTGACGTCCTCCCAGAGCAGCAGTCCAGATAAATGCGCTTTCTGCAACGCGGTCGTTCCTCCGGACCGGATGAACATGCACCTCTACTCGCATTTCTCCCACAAACACCAGGACGAACAGTGACTGGCGCACAAACTGACAGGACGCCCACTGCGGAGAGTCACTCCGCTGGGGCCTGCGCTGGATCTGAAATGACACTGCCATAAGACTTGAAAGCATTTATTTAATATTGAAGATTTGAATGGTACACTTTTATCTATTTTACAGAAATATTCTACTCCTTTTAATACTACATCCTGAGGCATATGTGAGCAAGTCAATTGAGTATATAAGGTATTGCTCCTAATATTATTGTAAATATTATGTGAAATGATTGTTATTATGTGTTATTAAATGTATACAAAGGTATGAGTTCATTAAGGTTCTTGAGGTATGCCTTTCTGTACAGATCTGAGCATCTTATCCATTTTCATCAACAGTCGAGGTTTTTACAACAAAAGAACCTGATAATTCACTCCAGTAAATACTCTTTTCTTAAGATCATGGAATAATCATGGAATTACTGCAGCCATCAATCACTGCAGTTTTTTAAAGAACAAAGAAGCAACAGAAGAATCTTGTTTTTGTGATTAAGGACTGCTACCATTCAAATTAACTTTTGTTTTTGACAGTAATACAATACTTTACAGTGATGTTTAGGTGAATGTAATGTAAACCATAACTGGTCATTCTAATCTATATTCTACAACAATCAAACCTGTGTAATTTAACTTGGCAACTCTCACTTTTGACTTGTGCAGTATTTATTCACACCTTTGCTAACAATTGCGCTGATTTGAACTATTCCGCGTGACAATGTTTAAGGAGGCCGTGTTGTGTGGAGGGGGGCCTCGCAGCCTTTTAGCTATGGGCTGGTAACACTGGCTCCGGTTGGACGCACTGGTGTGAATGCGGCAAACAACGCTTGCGCACGCAAGTGTTGCGTGATATCAATTGCTGCGTATAATAACGAGGGGCTGATTGATAAGTCATTTAAGCCCCAGCTGTAATTGGCAGTGAGCAAGGCACCATAATAATACTAGTGATAGGTGTAAAATATTTAAAGTTGTACTGCTAATTTAGATCTAACAAATCACTGCACAAAGAGAACAGCAAAGTGTTTGAACACGAGGTGAAGGCTTTTATTGAAACATACAGCGCCTTTTGAATATTTGAAATAAAGGGCATCAGCTTTTCATAACTTCTATATAAAGATTGAGATCATGACGTCACACGACAATGCAGTTTTGGATTTACAGCAAGCGCATTAAGGGAAAACTCATTTTCAGATACTCAAAAGTGAAACCAAAATGATCGCCAGTTTAAGAATTAATAAATGTAATGTTGTTTATCGGTATATTCTATGGCTTTTTGCTTAAAATGAAATTAGTTGGAAATGCATCATGCTATAATCAAGTTGCACGACTTATTGCAAAAGTGGCGGATTTCCTTGGTAACAGATGTTTTGTTATTTTTTATGGGTGATAATTTAGCTCTATATTTTAACTGAAAAGACCAGTACGTAAATGTTTAGACAAAAATAAAGCTTTTCAGTTTAGAATTTGGCGGACGCCTTCTTTTGGCCGTTTCCATGGAAATATTGATCTTTAGATCTAATCTCCAACAGTATAACAAACAAAACCTCATTGAGAGAATATACACTTTTATTGTGGAATCATGCAGGTGATATGCCAGCTCCAGAAAGTGACATGCTGTTGCTTTAACCTATCTCAATGTATTTACTGTGGCACAAGCAGTATGCCCTTATAATAGAATAATGCAAAAAATTCTTTTAACTTTTTTGTCACTATGTGTTGAAATGGAGCATTAATTTATTTAAAACATACTTGCACCGCCACAAATGGTCCTCAATGATCAATAATTTAGAATATATTGATTGAATCCTAACTTCATCAAAACGATTATTTAATGGCAGTTTTAGGTGCAATTCATTATTTTCTATTGCACTACATACTGTCATTTTTCTTCCCTAATGATCCTCATGCTCACTCCGCGATGAGTCGGACACTGCAGCTTGTACGCTGTTCTCGGAGGGATTCTGAACAGCTGTTTAATCGTAATTATGTTGTCATTTTATGTTATTTGGAAGAAGAAATTTGCCTTGACAGATTCTTTTTTTAAATTTAATATCCTCTCGCTTAATATTTGCTATGACTTTAAAACTTTGAGCATACTGTATTGTAGGCTTCCGTTTCCCCAAGTGGCTTCCATTTCAGAAAATCTCATCCAACTGGGACACCGGGTTTGCTATAAGATTGAGAAGGAAAAGAGGGTAAAAAAGAAAAGATATGGATTGAGACGGAGAAGGCTGATTACAAGGTGTCAAAATTGCCAGGAGCAAGAAGGTGAAAGCAATCAGTGGTGAGAAGAGTGCGGCATTGGTGAGGGGCAACTAATTATCTCATCTCATTTGTGGAGAGAAGCATTTCAGGCGGGCAGCTCCGAGCCCCGCTGAACGCTGACAGATTGGTGCGGAGGAGAGGGGAGGTGTTAGAACAATGGAGCCCCACTCACCATCATTACGGCATGCTAATCAGCGCTGCAGCTCTCCCCAGGACCACGCTTCTGCTGCAGGAGAGGAGGAGAGGAGGGTTGTGGAGACCAGGGGCAAGTGGGGGGGACCTATTCCAACTGGAAAACCAAAAAAAAGCGAGTGGCTCAGTTAGTGCTGTCACGATACTTTCAAACTCTATTTCGATACTCGTGCTGTCGGATGAATGCATGATTGACCTCAGACATCCCTGGTCGATCGGTTGTTCGACTATAAGTGGCATGGCAAAATCTCTCAAACTTACTTACTACAGGTGGAACTCGGAAAATTATAAAAATCCACCAGCTGAAGATGGGTCCCCAGGCGCTGTACTACGGCAACTGCTGTTCAAAAGCTCATTCAAAAAATTCAGGGTGCCCCCAGTGGTCAGGTGTGGGACTATTCGACTTTTGCGTAATATAATGTTTTGCTTGTCCCGGTTCAAAGATTACACTCAGCATCTTTCGGGCCGATCGGAGAACTCTAGTGCTCTATTACTTTAAGGTAGGTGGCGCTATAGAGTTTATATATGATTTTAGTGTCATTTTTAGTGGCGTTCAGGCCATCCCCTAATATGATGCGAGTCTCAGCTCTGTAGGTCTGAGCCTGTGGCCCTGAGGGCTCAGCAAAAACGGCCAAAACTAAGGCCTCTGTCGCCATGGCAAGGGACAAATCGTGGAGAATATCTAACTTTTTTCAAGGGATTATATAACTTCAATCTGTCCAGATTGAAAATTACATGGTAGAAGTCTCTATGCGGCGAAACTTCAGACCATCGTGGCCGATGTCCTGTTGGTCACAGAGCGAGGCTCCAAATAGTTTTAGGCTTGTCTCATAGAGATCTATCACTGATCTGAATTTTATTTACCTACTCTAAAATATGCATGTCTGGCTCCCGTAGGTTTAGCAAATTTCCAGGGGGCGATATAGAGTCGGCGTGCGATGGACAATTTTGAAACATTCATTTTATGTGTTTTTTCTCTGAACCGGTCGCATTAGACCCCCCATGTGCATGTCTTCAGGGTCAACAATTGAATCCTTTCGGCATAAAAATAATAATATGAAACCAACGAATAACAATCGCCCTCTCCAATACTTCGTATCAGCCCGGGCGACTAATGTTCTGATCAATAATGCCTACATCTGTTATCATGCCCATTCCAGATGGAGATAACAGAAGAATCAAACAGCATAGAGTCACTTTGCAGAACATAGATTTGCAAAAGTCAAAAGACGAACAGACCAGTGTACAGACAAAAGGGAAAAGCCTATGATGCTAATAGCTAAAAAGTGAGTCGATTAGGGTCTCGAGACTGCGGTGGCCTCTTCACATTGATGTCATTTAGACAATTAACAACTTAGAGGAGGAGCATATTCAACTGTGCGTGCATTGGTCACTGTTGGCATGAGGGGCTGCCAACTCTGCCGGCATGGCGAGTAGCACCTCACAGTTGTGTTGCCATGCGTCAGTGTGACTTTTGTGTTGGATTAAACGTGTTGAAGCCAGTGCTCCCATGTCTGCTGCAGGCTCGCCTTCATTGTGTGTGTGTGTGTGGTGCTGGTCTGAGAGCCCCCTACTTTATGAAGCACACATTTGGCAGTCATAGGCAGTGATGACAGAGGCAGTGGTGAGATCGCACCCACAACCCCAAAGGAGGCTGCCGCGCAAGACAAAGCCCTGCTGCCTCAGTCAGTCGTCTGAATGTGGAGAGAACCGCTCACTATGGGCGCATGGTGAGCATAGGATATTTGTAAACGTCTGATCTTTTTCTTTGGCTGCCCATTTGAAGTCAAACAAACTACAGCCAGAGCTGCCCGGTCACCATCCTGTACTGAGGCTTAGAAATTAGTGTAGGTGGTTTTTCGTCTTGACACATGGGGGTGGAATGGAGCATGGGATGTTTGCAGAATGGTAACTTGCAATTCAAGGGTTAAGGCAGCATGAAAGAATCCATTCTCGGTTTAATGACCTAGCCTCTCTGGGCGAGGACGACAGGGAACATGCTCTTGACTTGTACTGAATTTGCCAATTAACACCTCCAATAACAGGCTGCCTCTGAACATCACCAGTGTGCAGAAAGGAGGAGAGACTCCAATGCACTTTGTTTTTCAGCCTCTCCTACTGTAATGAGGCCCTCTGCTTTCCTTACTCTGCAAAGGATTTGGCCTTATACAATTATTTGTAAATTCTCCTCATTGGAGCTTAGTGCTGTCGTAGTCACATTCAATAAGTAGAACACGTTTTATTTCTGCCGGCTGCTTCAGTCTTTATCTAGCCTACTTGTTGGACAATCTATTTTTTGCGCAAGCCCATATGGCTAGGAGCAGCTTCAATTAGACACTCACTGGTATCTAAGATACACACTGCTTGATTAGTTTTGTCCCTTCTCATTGTTTTGCAATACTGTCCTTAGATGGATTACAAAGATAAGTCTTGAAATCTGGTTTCACACATGCTTATCAGACTCTCAAACAACACCCACTTCAGGTGTGAATATCTAACTCCCCTATGGAAATGAACCGCTCTGTGCTG